CAAACGTGTGTTAAGCAATTGTGATATCTCCCGTTCTGCCATGGGTTATTCTCGTTTGGCACACGTTTGGTCAAAAGATCGGCTTCACTTGTCTCTCTGACGAGTTGTTGTATAGTGCTAAGAATGGCAAAACTCACTGACGATGCCGACTACGATATCGCCGAAATTTCCGAGAACTTCTAAGTCCACGGTCCGACTTTGGAAATGATTATGCATACTATGGACTCCGGTCTAGGTGCGTTCCTCTAGGTTTTCATACCAATATAAACAAGTTGCGAAAACAAGGACAAACAACTTCTATACAACGAAACGAGACTGCGACCACACAAAAGGCCACACCATCTTGGTCGTCATACCTTCGATACAAAAGTAAATTATCGCAAAAATATAGTTAAGTGCTAATGGACTTAATGAAAAGCTTTACTATGTTTGTAAGTAAATCAGAACATTAGGAACATTATGTTTTGAAAGTTTTAATACGTGTAGATCATTTATTTGGACATTTTTGATAAGGGAATAAATGAATTCCCTCCTAATTTTTATTTGTGTTATACTTGCCCTAAACCTAAGCTTTAATGTGGTGAAATAGAAGAATGCTAGTTATGATTTAGAGACCCAGATATATCCACCCACCTTTATCCTATATTTATTGTGCGTTACACGAACCAAAATACATTTTCGACACTTCTAGGACAGAAGAACAAATAAGGCATTATATTTGATTTCACCTTTCTATATATTTTGAAGGTCACATATATCAGTCACATTTCATTAATTTTTTTGGTTACGTTTTAACCAGCATTTCTCTCCTAATTTTTACCTCACCGATTTTTTAATCCCTATTTATAATATACTACAGGTTAAATCTCTGGTGGATGGCGAAAAACTCGTGTCTTTGCCCTTGCGCCTAGAAACTGGCTTAAAGGACAACTTTCTTATAGTGACTCGATCCGGCCGCGACAACTTGATTGTCCAAGCATTTTCCAATCAAGATAAGTCCCAGACAGATGATAGCTTTATGGAGATTTCTAGTGCTCGACTTCTAGAGCTTCGAATCACCTTAGATGGCTTAGAGACGGGCCAGACTCGACGAGCTGTCTATCTGGCTGCTGGGCAAGCTTGGCATAACCGCCTTGTCGGACTGTTAGGAAGAAATGATAACGAAAAGTACACTGATTATGTGCCCATTAATAGAAAGCTAATCTCAGAGTCAAGTGGTCTAAGCAGATTCTGTCTCAATGGTTGCAGCATGGTAAGTAACATAATGGAAGTAGTCTTATAGTATATTTATAATTATTTAATTAAATACAAAAAGAGAATTACTCAGAATATTTATATATATATTTACAAAATTCCAAATTCTTATTACTCTAAATGCCTTAAATTGTACATTTCTGAATGATCTAAGTCATTAGAAATTTTTAAAAGTCCTTCATATACTTATCTGCAAG